TTCCTGACTGTCAGCTCCACGGGAACAAGTCTTGTCCCCAGCGCCTGGCCCAGAGCCTGGTACGTAGTGGGTGCTCAATAATTGCATATTGGAATGAATGAATGAATGAATGAATGAATGAGCTAAGGATACAGCCAAGGGGATGGAGAAGACAGGATGCCTGCATTCCAGTGACATGAGACATTGGGCTCTTTCCATCTGGGGCCTGTGGGCGGACCAACCACACACACTTCCTGCAGCCTGGCTCTTCTGGGAGGACGCGGGCACACACGTGGCGTTTTGCACAGTGCGCCACACGGATTTGCAGACTTGGGAGCCCAGGTCACATTCCGGAAGATGCTGGAAGGTGTCAGGACTGGCTCGCACCCCTCACCAGATGGTGGCATTCCCGGGAAACGGCACCCAGGGAGGGCTGAACGACTGGTGAGCTCCCAGATCGGATTCAAGGCTGTGAGCACGAAGAATTGGCAACAGCTGTTAGCATGAATCAACACCTCTGAATCTGAGTGGGGGGCTGCCACACTGTCTGGTTTTGAATGGAAGTGCTGCTCTGGCCCTGTGCGGTTCTCTTGGATTTCCCGGGAGACCTTGAGCTCCACGCTGCACCCCCAGCACCCAGCCCACAGCCTGGTTTGTGGAAGGAGGTTCAGAAGGATGGATGAATGAATGTTCTTGAATGGCGCCTAATTTCAGCAGCTATTGGTCTTGGTGACTCAATTCCCAGGAAAAAAGGGAGTTTTCCTCTGCCTGAAATTGCAGGAAATGGATTTTTAAATTTTGCAAATCAGTTCAGGAAAATCAAGCCCGTGGCCCTGGCCGGTTTAACAAAGGCAGAGACGTACCCGTTGCCACCCCCTGCCTGAGGCGCTTGAGGTCGGACTGCCATGCCTGCCTCCTGGTGTCGCAGGCCCGCTTTGCCGCCCTTCTGTCCCCCACAGCACATCCATGATGCGTAGAAAGAGGTGGCTCGCACGGGGTGTCCCGGCTTTCTCCAGGAAGCTCTCATTTACCTCGCTTTGGTTGTAGCACTAATAACTTTAAAATGAGCAAGTGAGGACCTAGCCAGGGAGCTCAGTCGGTTAGGTAGAGCGTCGTCTTCATACACTAAGGTTGTAGGTTTGATCCCTGGTCAGGGCACATACAAGAATCAACCGACGAATACATCAACAAGTAGAACAACAAATTGATGTTTCTCTCTCTCTCTCCCCACCTTCCTTTCTCTCTTTCTCCAATCAGTCAATCAAAAAAATTTAAAAAGAGCAAGTGTGGCCCATTCCAGAAACGCATAGCATCTTGCCACTGTGTGGGCTCCCGAAATGTTTTGGAAGAGACTACCATCTCTTAAATTAAGTAGAACATATGTGATGCATTGAAAGTAGAGTTTAAAGCATCTATTTCAATAAGTTTCTTTGTATTTTATAACAGGTTAAGTGAAAACCTGAGAATCATGGGTTTCTCTAGGTTTGGGAAAGACTTCAAAATATTATTTAGCCATTCATTCTGGTGGTTTAAAAACTTTTCTCCCTGTGTCCATTGACTTATTAATTAATTCCTGGATTTGTTTGTGCAACCATATTTGCATAGCAGGCATTTTAAATGGAAACTTGAGAGGAAGCCCAAAAATGTTAAGCAGATTACAGATAACAGAGATACTGCTCCAGTTGTGCCGGGAGTGGACTAATAGGCTTTTTCCTCTCATCTTTCCTTTTTTCCCTCCCTGCAATGGGCTCCTGGGATGGGCTCAGCGAGCCCTGAGTGGGGTGACATTTGTGTACCACTGACCCTAGGTCAGCGGCGATCGCTTGTGGTGACTCCCTTCCCAGGAAAAGCCGCACAGAGAAGCAGTCATTCCACATTTGGGCAGGTGAGGCGCTATGACAGTGTCGGGTAAATAATGGCCACTGCAGGCGGCTGACGGTGGCCTGTCCCGGACACTAGGTATCCTCCTTGTGGTCCAGCGAGACCAGCGGGACTTCTTGGTGATGTTGGGCGTCCGGCAGGACTCGCCGCTGCCCTTTGGTTCTGTCATCCTCTAGCGCTTGACCTATGGCCACCCTGTGGCTTGTGAGAACCGGAGAAACTCATCTGACGTCCTGGAGTATTGAGTGTCCTGAAACTCATGACATCTATACTTATTCAGCATCTTATTAGAAGGGCGCAGAGCAGGGCCAGGAGAATATTTCTTCATTCATTTACTTATTCACTCAGTCATTACGGAGCTGGTGCTATTAGAGGCCAGGCCACTGTGCTGACTACTGGGACTCGGGGCGCCCTCTGGGGACTTACCTAGAACTGGGAAAGACGGGTGTGAAGTATCGCACGGTTAGATGTAACCGTAGCTATGATGAGGCCTGCCAAGTATCTGTGGGGCTCAGTGGGCAGGAAAGAGGGAGACTGTACTAGGCTGGAGGGGAGCGGGGTGGTCTGAGCTGTGATCTCAGGGGGGGCCTGTGTCTGAGCAAGAGAGGCATCTCAGAGAGCAGGCATGGCGTGTGCAAAGGCCTGGGGAGGCCTTTAAGAACCTCCAAGAGATGCAATGCACAAACACCACTGAGCGGGAAGAGGCAGGAGAGAGCTCCCAAGTCAGCCAGCACCTCGAGTGTTCAGAAATCACCTCCTCCAAGCCGAGGGAGGCTTCCAGGACCAGCACTCCCAGTTCTAGGCAATGAACCCTCCTCGTCCTGTGCTCCCACGTGCCCCTTTATGAACCATAGTGTTTATTGCCCAGTGTTGTGATTGTTTGTATGTTTGTATTCCTCACATATGAGTAAGAGCTCCCCAAATGGACTTGTTCATCTCTGCACACATAGCAGGTGCTCGCTAAACATGGATCAGAGGAACAGGGGAGATTTTTATCGAGCCCCTACGGTGGCCTCCGCATTCTTTATGCACCTGTATATGTAAGGCTGCAATGCTGAAAAGTCAAAAGGAGCGTGAGTTTCACAGGCTGCAGGAGATGACAAAGGACGCCGTTGGAGTGCCAAAGCTCTGGCACCGTCTGTGCACGTATCGCTGCAACTCGGGACTGAGGCTGTCATCCTGTGTCTCCCCAGACCTGCTGAAACTCAGCCTGCAGGGACGAGCCTTCCCTCCCCCGCCGGCTTCTGCCATGGAGCGTGGGGACAGCCCCGTTCGTGATGAGCTGTGACACCGTTGGCTTCCTCTGGCAGTCGCACGTCTCCATCCAGGGCCCCCAGCTCGGGTAAGCGGGGCTGGAGTGTCCCGGGGGTGCAGGGCGCCTGTGGGTTCTGCTGGGGAATTTTCTCTCTGTCCTTTGGGTCCTGTTATTGTCCTGCATGTCACATTTGGGCTCTGTATGTGTCCCCGAGCAGGGTCTCCCCAGGTCACGGGGGCTGGCTCTGAAGGCGAACAATCCCGATTTGGGGGCAGGACCCCCGGGGTCAACGCAGGTAGAATTCTCCCTTCCTCAGATTCCCTGATTCTCCGTATCTGTCCCTCTCTTCTTCTGACATGTCTAGACAGTGTTCTCCGGTTTGAGGAGAAGGAATCTGTTAGCACCATCGAGCGTGTAAGGAAGAGAAAATATCAAAATCTGTCTGCCTTCCTTGCCTGCGGGTTGCTGAATGAGTCAGAGCTGGGGGCAGCCGTGCGGGCCCCGGAAGGGAATCGGGAGGCTCGCGCTGAACTGAACCCTTTCTACTCCTAGTCTGCCCTGGTGGGGGCAGGCCATGGGCAGATTTTGGGGGGAAGGGAAGAGTGTTGTGAAGGTGGAGGCGGGCTGGGGGAGGAATGGGGCAGAATCAAGAATAGTGACTTGTCTGGCACTTCTCTGAGACGAGAAAAGAATAAAACATCATTTCAAAAAAGGCAGAGTTGAATGAGTTGAAGACTTGAAGTCAAGTGTCAGCTGTGTGAGGTAGGCATGTGGGACGACCTCTCTGAGCCCTTTCCCTTTATAATAGAGCTACCGGTCACACCTGCCTTTTGGGGTTGTTGGGGGCTTAATGAGACAGGAGGGCTCCCGACTTGAGAGAGCAGGTCGTGCACAGCTGGATGGACAAGGGGCTACGCCTGGGCCGCAAAATGAAGTCTGATAACCACTGTGCCTACCTCGTGGGGTTGGGAAGATGCTATGATATGGAAGACACAGGACGTCCTTGGCTAACCTGGGGGCTTCATTCACACTATGCCCTCACCATTAGCTGCCATTCTTACTGAGAAGGCGAAGGAGCCAGCATACAATGGGCGCTCCCTGGAAAAGAGCCCAAAGGCAAATAACAACTGCTTCAGTGACTGAAAAATCAGGCTGGCTTTTTAAAAAAGGCATCTGGAAGGGTCTGGTTGGTGGCTGAGGCCTGGGTTCAGTGCCATTCTCCAACTCCGTGAGCTCAGGGACTCCAGCTTCGGGTAACTGTGTGAGCTGGGATGGTCACTTACCCTGTGTGCGCTTGGCGCGCAGCCCAAGATTGTGACGGGGATCAGCTGGGACGCCTGATGCCTGATGGGCAGCCTCTGAGGTGGGGAAGTGGCTAGGGGACAGGAGTGAGGGGACGCGAGGATGCTGTCCCTGGGGCATGCAGTGGGGGTGTAGGGTCGGGCTGGGTTCGAAGCCTGGCTTCGCTGCTGTTCTGAGTGACCTCAGGCCGGCCCCTTGGCCTCTCCGAGCCGACGTCCTTATCTATACAGCAGAGTCACTCTTTACCCCCAGAGCTGGTCTTGAGATTAGCTGAGTTGGACAAGACCCGAGAACGCTGGCGCCTCTCCCCACCCTTTGATCTGGAAGGAACTTCCAGAAACAGCCACTCAGTCCTCTCCCCTTGCCCAGAGTCCAGAGAGGTGGAGAGGCTGGCCCAGGCTTGCCCGGCGAGGTCAGGAGGGAGCTGTTGACCGGAACTCAGCGCTCCGGCCTGCTTCGACCTGGACACTCACTGAATTTTAAATAGACTTCTTTGTTTTGTTTTTGTTTTGTTTTGTTTTGTTTTAGCAGCAGCTTCTCCGTTTCGGATGTTTCCTATCCCCATGGATCCCCAACCGTAACCATGGCGACGCGGGTCGAGGTCAGCTCCCTAACATCCCTGCCAGGAGTGCCAGGCCTCGGTGAGATCGCCAAGGAGGAGACCCTGACACGGACCTACTTTCGCCAGGCCGGCGACTCCTCTGGGGCTCCCTCAGCGCGGCTCCTGGAAGGAAAAAGCCCCCTGAGGAGCCCTGCACGCCTGTTCCCTCTGCCGAGACTCGCCCCCAAGCCCTTCTTCAGGGAGAAGGCCCCGGACGTGAAGTCCGCCGGCACATCCTTGCAACCCAGCCCGACCAGGCCTTCTCCTTCCTGTGGGCCGCCCCAGGGCTTGGCGGCCAAGGACCTGGGCGAGAGGATGCCCAGCTTGGCGGGGCAGGAGGCGGGGAGCGGGGAGGGCCTGAGGAGGAGCTCGTCTCTGTTCAACAAGGCCGCCTCTCTGCGGCCCAGCCCCAGCACTGTGATTCTCTTTGAAACCACCAAAGCCGGGCCCGCCCTGGGGAAGCGGGCCAGGGAGGGGGCCCAGGAGGCCAGCGCGGGCGTGTCTCAGGAGACCCCTTCGGGCTCGCGGCCTGAGGTGGCCGCCAAGCCCGCCAAGCCCACCCCGCCCGCCCGCAAACCTGGGGGGGCCCTTCCCCGACCAGCCTCCCTGTCACAGGACGCAATGCCGGCTGCCACCCGAGAGGAGACAGGCCCAGGGGAGCCTCTTGCAAAGGCCAGCAGTGTGGAGGACACGGGCGGCCCCACCGTGGAGCCCAGGCCTCGCCTGAAGAGAAGGCCCGTGTCAGCCATTTTCACGGAAACTGTTCAGCCTCAGAAGCCGGGCCCAGGTGGAGTGGCTACGGCGGGGAAAGCGCCCCCCACCCCTCCTGAGAAGACGTGGGTGAGGAGGCCCAGGCCTCTGTCCATGGACCTCACGGCCCGGTTTGAGAGCAGAGAGGCCTTGCTGAAGAAGGTGGCTGAGGAGGCCACAGCAAGTCCCACCGCCCTGCAGCGGGGGCCCGAGAGGTCCAACCCAGAGCCCAAAGAGGAAGGGCAATGTGTGGGCAAAGCAGAGGCTCCCCTTCACGACCCAGATGCAGACTTCCTGGAGGTGGCCAAGAAGCTCCGAGAACGGAAGGAGAAGGTGCTTTCTAAGCAAACAGAGCTGGGCAGCCTCCGAACGGCTGGGGGCTCCGCCAGGGTCACCTCCACAGAGGACCAGAAGCTTGGGGAAGAGAGAGCCAAGCCGGACGGGGAGCCGGAGAAGGCTCCCGAGCCCCCTTCGCCCAGGCCAGGAAAAGGCCAAGAAATCGCTGAGGTCAAGAGCAGAGCGTCTGATGGGGCCATCCGGACGAGGGGAGAGTGGGCCGCCAGGGGCAGCGTCAAGAAGCGCCTCAGCCTCTTCGGGGAGGAGAGCGCGTTGGCCTCGGCGGTGGGGCCCGAGCCCCCGCAGGCTGCCCCTGAGTCCCCGTCCGCTGCTCCAGAGCTGGAGAAAGCGGGGGTGAGCGTGCAGGAGCGGATCAAAGGCTGGGCCACCGAGAGCTCCGAGGCCAAGCCGGGGGTCAGGAGAAAGGCCTTCCAGGCACGGCCGCTGTCGGCGGATTTGACCAAACTGTAAGTGGGAATGTCCCTCTGTGCCCAAGCTGCCTCAGACCGCCCACAGGTTTACCCGCAGCCTCAAGAGGAAGCGGCGTTAGCTGCCACCTCGCAGATGAGGCGTGTGCCGGCGGTGGGGCCAGGAGTTCGTTTTTCTTGTCCCTTCTCCTCTGCACTTGGGAGACATTGTGCCCATTTCACAGACTGGGATAGGAAAGGCGAGGTACCATGAGGAAGTCAGGAGCCCGATGTATCCCAGCTGACCCTGTCTCTATAGTTAAGCTGTCCTTTCCTACTGTCTGCAGACACTTACTACTGTATTTTGCCATGTGTGATGAACACAATTTTTTGCCCAGATTTTTGAGGGAAAAATAAGGATGTGCATTATACATGGGGAGTTCTAAAACGGGGGTGCACATTAGGCATGGGAGAGCATTATACACAGCAAAATACGGTGTATGCCCCAAACCTCCATGAGGGGCCTTCAGACTAAAACTAGATGAGTCCAGATAACTTGGGCAAGTCAGCTCCCCTCTTGAGCCTCGGTTTCTTCGTCCCGTGATACTAAGCCCTTTCTTAAGGACAAAGACTCGGACACACAATGCGGGGGCTCGCTCTGCCCACAGGAAGCCCTCAGTGCATTGCGGCCCTGAGTGATATCATTAATCCTGTTCACGAATAGTGATTCTCTAAGCTTGCCCAGCCTCTGACATCTCTTGTTCCTTTGTTTTCCCACAAGTAGCTTCTTGGTTACAACAGGGAGATGCCCCTGGGCGTGTCCACCGGCTCAGTAATGACATGCATACCACTGACATACTTCATCAGGGACGGAGTTTCCAGGGGGCAGGACCTCTGGGCAGGCTGCCCTCCCAGGCCTGGGAACTAGGGCAGCCAGCTGGGCCAGAATTAGACCATTGGCTCTCAGCATTTAGAATCACCTGGAAAAAAATCCCGGTGTCTGGGTCCCACCTCTAGAGATCCTGGTTCGGTTGGCCTGGAGAGAGGGGCTCCGGCCTTGGCTGTTTTTCAAAACTTCCCAGGTGGTTCTCACGTGCTGACCTGAGAGCCCCTGAGTTCAGATGGCAGAGAGAGGGGCACCCGGGCCAGGGACCCCACACTTCTTCCCTCCCTGCAGTGCCCTGGGTTATTCCCATCGGACAGATGGGTAAACTTGAGGCTCCGTGTGTGGGTCGAGTTTAAGAAGCTTGATGTCTCGCTCCTTTCTCTCCTCTGCAGCCCCCAGCCCTGAACGAATCTTTAGGTATCCAGTCCAGGGAACTTTCCAGGGATGGAAAAATTCTAGCTCAGAACCCTGCCTTCTTCCTCTTCGCCTTCGCAAGTGGAAAAACAGGCCGAGAGAGGGACAATGACTTGGCCAAAGCCACCCGGAGAGGCAGAGACGGGCCCGTGCCCCCACACATTCCATGACAGCCCACTGGCCCCGAGTGCCGTGGCAGGTCTGCAGCGGGCGCTGCTGTGGCTGTGGGTCGCCAACAACAACCATTCATTATCCCTCCTGTGGCATCCCTAGTCTTCCCTAAACGCCCTCATGTGGCTATTAGGGCTCTGAGTAGCCTCTCATTCGCCCTACAAAAGGCGATAGGGAGGCGTTAATTATCCCCGTTTTATAGATGAAGAGACAGAGGCTCAGGCGAGGTCACAAGCCCGACCCAAGCGCCCGCAGTGGGAAGGCGGTAGAGCCGGCACTAGCACCGGCACTAGCACCTAGGCCTCTTCCCCAAGCCAGGGCTGCTGCCGCCCCAGTGATGCTGTGTTTAAGGTAGGCCGTCCCCGCCGGGCCCTTCTCTGCTGGTTTGGCACCCAGAACGGAGAGGCCTTTTCTCAAAGTTAGTCAGGCACTCTGGCTTTGACGATCTCCACACTGACTTCACCCCCAGGTCCTGGAGCTGGTTATGGGGTGTGGGTGGAGGGAGCCACGGCTGCCAGTCCATCCAGGTAACTTGGATCTCTGTACCAGGTTTTCAAGTTCAGCTTCAAGCAACGAAGTCAAGTATGAGAGGTGTGTGGAGCTGAGTGGCGAGCTTGCTAAGGAACCGAGAGAAAAGGTAAGCAGCCATTGTGTTTGGTAGTGGGTACTTACACTTTCTGGAAAAGAATTAGAAGCCCCTCCCGAACAGTAAAACAGTTCCTGCTTTAATGCTGGGACTTTTCAAGTCCCTTCCTCCATGATGGGTCTGATTCCCTGTTCTGTGCTGTTAAATGCATTTTACAAATGCAACTGCTGAGTACTTTTTTCCCTTCACAATGAGGAAAAGGGACATGACTTTCCTGTGTGAGAATGCCTTCTTCATTAAGCATTAAATAAAGGTTAAAACATGCTAATATGCCCTGGCCGGGTAGCTCAGTTGGTTAGAGCGTTGTCCCGATACGCCAAGTTTGGGGGTTCAATCCCCGGTCAGGGCACACACAAGAATCAACCAATGAATGCAGGAATAAGTGAAACAACAAATCAGTGTCTCCCTCCTTCTCTCTCTCTCTCTCTCTCTCTCTCTTCCTCTTCCTTTCCCCCCTTCTCCCTTTCTCTCCCCTCTTGCTCTCTAAAATCAATCAATACATTTTTTTTAAATGTTGGTAGAAACCCCCTCAATTTCCCTAATTATGATCTCTGCTTCATTCCCAACCCAGACTTTAACCTATCAGCAGGAAGAAAATTATGAGCAATTAAATTACTCAAAAAGTATCTTTATTTCATTCCTTTCATAAGTAAAACTCGTAAAATCAATCCTAGGTGTAACTGGTTTGCGGTTAATGCTTTCTGCCAAGTTGTAACTTTTTTAAAAACGGCTTTATTGGGGTATAATTGACGTACAGTACACGGGGCATATTTCAAGGGTGCACGTTGATGAGTTTGACGTGCGTATGGGCACACCTGTAAAACTGCCATCACAGTCAAGGTAATGAAATCTCCAGCACCTGGGCGTTTCGTCTTCATACTCCTTCCCTCCTCCTCCTCCTCCTCCTCCTCCTCCTCCTCCTCCTCCTCCTCCTCCTCCTCCTCCTCCTCCTCCTCCTCCTCCAGGCTACCCCTGATCTGCTTTCTGTTACAATACCTTAGTTTGCACTTTCTATATTTTCCCGTAAATGGAACCAGTGCCCTTTTTCGGTCTGCCTTCTCTCACTCAGAATGATTATCTTGGGATTCACTACATTGTAGCATGGATTAATAATTCATTCTTCTTCACTGCTGAGCAGTGCTCCATCGCGTGGGTTGGCCACAGTTTATCCATTTGCCCTCCGATGGACATTTGGGTTGTTTCTAGTTTGGGGTCCATTGCAGTTCAGTGGCATTCAGCATATTCTCCGTGTGCAATCAACCATCACTGCTGTCTAGGTCCAGAATTTTCCATCATCCTAGATGGAAACCTCTTACCCAGTGACTTCCCATCCTACGACTCTGGCCGCTGGTAACCAGGAATCTACCGTCTCTATATGCTTGTCTGTCCCGGATATTCCAAATAAATGGGATCATGCAACATGCAGCTGTTTGTGTCTGGCTTCTTTCACTTTGCGTAATGTTTTCAAGGCTCATTCCTGTTGTGGTGTATGTCAGGACTGTGCTCCTTTTCCTGGCTGAATAATATTCCATTGCCCACACAGACTACATTTTGTTTATTCATTCCTCTGTTGATGGACATTTGGGCTGTTTCCACCTTTTGGCTATAGCGACTTATGCTGCTGTGTACATTGGTGCACAAGTTTTTGTCTGAACACCTGTTATTAATTCTTTGGGATGTATATCCAGGAATGGAATTGGTGGGTCCTATAGTTAATTCTTCGTTTAACTTGTTGAGGTAGACTTATTTCTAACAGAAAAAAAAGATTAAAAATTACTAAGTAATACAGGCATATTATAAAAATCAAACAGAACCAAAGTGTGTCAGATTAAAAGGTATTTTCTTCATTCCTATTCCTTACTGCTGCTCAGTTTGATGTATATCTTTTCTCCGCTGTTTATCTGAGTATGTCATAAACACACTGTCCTGCAGCCTGCTCGTCTCCCATCAGCACAATGTTTGGGTGTTCTTAGGTGTCCCAGCATTGGGACCCACCCGCTCTGTGGACCCAGGTGCCTGGATTGTGAGGCTGTGTGGAAATTCCCTGAACCTCTGCCCTGCAGGGGGCACTGGCGTTGCCTGTGTTCATTCGCTTTCACCAACAATGCTGTCGAGCCTTCTTGCTCACGTAGACTTGTGCTCACGAGCACAGAAGGAATCCTGAGTGGAAATTGGCCGGATTAAAGGAAAAGAGAATTTAAAAATCATGGTAGAGATACTGAATTGTTCAAAAGTCACCCATTTATGTTCTTTCCGACAATATCTGAGTGTCTATTTCCTCACAGCCTTGCCCACTCTAGACAGGTTCTATCTTTAATAATTTTTTTAAATCACCCTAGGATATGTTTTCACTGAATTTGGAGAGAGAAGAAATGGGGGGGGGGTAGAGATTGATTTGTTTTTCTCCCCACTTACACATTCATCGGTTGAGTCTTGTATGTGCCCTGACCGGGGATGGAACCTACAACCCTGACATATCTCAGGACGATGCTCTAGCTAACTGAGCTGCCCGGCCGGAGTCACTGTTGGGATTTGAGTTTAAAAGCAGCCATCTCAACTGCCTCATCTCTTCCTTCTCATTTCACATTATTTAACCTAAGTTGGATCGTTTCTTCTTTTTTATTTTTTTCAGCAAAAGGAAGGGCCTGGTGTGGATGGAGCCCCCGCTCCCAGAAGCCCCTGGCAGCCTGGGACGCCCCGGGAGAAGGCCAGGCAGACTCAGCGGAAGGACAGTTCTCGCCACGTCCCCAGCAGCTGCTGCGGGGCGAGCTCAGTGGGGGCCTTGAGCTCCTCTGACAGCACTCCAGAAGACGACGGAAGCTTCCAGACCGTGAGGGCCACGGTGTTTGAGCATCACGTGGAGAGACACACTGTGGCTGACCAGTCGGGACGCAGTCCCTCCGCTACATCCCCTGGTGCTGTGGCCCGTGGCCCTGAACCCAGACCCAGGCCCGAGAGAGGCTCGTGGCTAGGGAAGGGCCCTCCAGAAAAGACGATCCTCCAGAAGGAGAACTCCAGGTGGCTTGAAAACCCCGACACAGAAAAACTGGGACGGACTCCCCTCTTGAATGGTGACTCCAAACAGTATCAAACGCCTCTCGCGGAGAAGTACCCCCCGGGCGAAAAACGTAGTAACAACCCCTTCCTTCCATGCTCGGAAAACCCTCCCAGGTCACAGAGGGTTGAACCCAAGTACGACATTGTGCACGCTGTGGGGGAGCGCGCGCACAGTGAGGCTGTCCCCACAGCACCTGAGGAAAAGGCTGTGACGCTCCGGAGTGGCAGGGCCCGGCTCTCGCTGAAGGGGAGGCAGCTGTCCCCTGAGGTCACCCCTGCTAACCCAGAGTGCAGGCTGGACAGTCAGGTGGGATCCGTCCAAAGGGCCAGTTTGATTTGGGAAGCTCGAGGGACGCAGGAGGTCAGCGGGCTCCACGCTGACTCCCGGGAGCCAAAGGACACATTCGGGGCCCCATCACCCAAGTGGAAAGGCGGGGCGGCCGGGAACTGGCATAAAGCCACGGTAGGGGTCAGTGATGAGAAAGGCTTGGAAGTGAGTCCTGATGCCACCAGCGAGCACTCAGCCAGGCCCTGCCAGGCCGTCACCAGGGAGACCCAGCACCAAGGGCCCGAGGGCGCCGGAAGCAAGCCGGGGGGCTGCGTTTCAGCAGGAGAAAGGGGTCCGCTCTGGGGCTGTCCTCTGGACCCTCCTTTCAGGGCTAAGGGGGAGCCCTCCGACTTCCGAGCACGGGCACACCCTGACGGGCTGGTGCAGAAAGGGCCCCTCGTTGTGGCCGCTGGTGAGGGTGAACCGAGGCTGGCCCAGGCCCGGGAGCCTGAAGCCAGGATGCGGAGGGTGAGCCCCACCGACCAGAGATTTGAGAGGTGGAGGCGGCGGACTTTACCCCACGACGTGAAGTTTGATGAATTCCTGGCCCCAGAATACTCTTCAAAGGCGGAGCAGAGAGGCACAGATTATCTGAGCTCCACCGCAGGTGCCTTGAGGAAACCTCAACCATCCCATAATACGGCGGAGGCCCAGGAGGGGGACTCAGGTGTCTCACGGGACCCGGCTCCTCCAGCAGTGAAGCAAGGGTCGTCTGTGGAACCGAAGATGACATTTTTTGCAGTGACATATAAGATTCCTGATACTCAAAAAACAAAGAGTATTGTTAAGCCAGGGCCTGAACACTTGACGGAACATTCTAGAAAAATAGCTCCGCCTCCATCCCCTCATCCTTCAGCTTCTACCTTGGTTTCTCTCAACCCTGAAGAGACCCTGCAGGCCGTGGGCAATAAAAGCTGGGCTCAGAGCAGAGAGCATGACAAGGCGAGCATTTCAAAAACTCGAAAGCCAACAGACATTTCATCAGCTCTTGGGGACAGAATTCTGGATCTTTCTACTGAAAGAATCATTGATACCGATAGTGTGCGTGTTCACCGGCGACCGGAGGACGGCGCTGGTTTTCAGAATGATTGGAAGGACGGTGGGAACAAGACGTCCCCCAGTAGTGCTCCCCAGACGTCCCCCGCTTTCAAAAGCCGCCTGAAAGCCAGCGACCTCCTGGTCAGAAGGAAGACTGAGGTGGTCAGCGAGACGTTCCCAGGTAAAATCAAAGATGGCTACAGATCCAGCGTTCTTGACATCGATGCCCTGATGGCCGAGTACAAGAAGCAGGAGCCGCAGGAGCCGGTGGAGGGCCCACCCGCAGAGCCCAGCAGCTCGCCCCGGGAGAGGCCGAGCCAGCCCGGTGGGGTGGAGCGGCGGCGGAGGAGCCTGAAGGAAGGGCCTGAAGCTGAGGGTCTCTGGAAGCGAGCCAGTTTTGCTGAAACAAACCACAGTTCTAGTCCTGGCTCTGGCAAGCAGCTGGCAGAGACGCTGGGGGCAGCCACGAACCCCAAACTCGGCTCTCCTCTGTGGGCTCTGCCGAACTCAGCTCCTTCCGAAAAACACCCAGGGGCCTCTCCTGGCCCTGAGACTCCCAGGAAGAAGATCTCAGAACTCTCTGAGGATGAAACAAAGACCTCTGCTAGCAAACACCCCGGTGCAAAGTGTCAGAGTTACGCCGCCACCCAGGAGGATCCAGGCGCTGGAGCCAGTGTGTTGCCCACATCCTCCCCAGCTGACCAAAAGAAAGGGACCCCGAGGAAGTCCAGTTGGAGGGGAGAGGAAGGCCATGGGGCCCAGTGGGGTGACCACCCACACCACCGTGGAAGGTCACCGCTGGATGTCAAAAGGGCCTATTCGGAGAAGGGCCCTCCTGCCAAAATCCGAGAGGGCCTGTCCGTCATGCAGGAGGCCAGAGAGAGGAGGCGAGAGCAGCTCAAAGCGAGGCACAGCCTCCCCGGGGACATTTTGGAAGCCAAAGAGGCCCAAGCGGGGCCCTATTGGCGGGACTCAGGGACCCGAGACAGTCAAAAGGTGAGTATGAAGGCTGTTTCCATGTTGTCCAACGTTGGGTGCACATGTAGGCCACAGGTATCAAACTCATAACCCACGTGGGCCAGGCGGGTACGTGCAGGAGTCGGCCGGGTGTGAGACTCTAGGCAGTGGCGGGGATTGTGGCAAAGGGGGAGCTTGTGCCTTATCTGAAGGGGCAGTTGCTGCTCAGTTCCTGCTGGTTCTTGACAGGTGAGAGTGGGGGTCCTGAGATGGCAGATCCGATTTATTAAGAGAATTTGAAAAAAGAAAATACGGATTTTTATAGGTAATTTTCCCATTGGGAGATGAGAACAGCTTTATCGCAAGTGCTGTTCAGTCTTTTAAAAAAAATGTGTCTGCTGGCTCCATGTAGCCACGCGTTTTATACCTCTGGCCTAAAAGGATGGCCATAGGTGTCGTTTATGGAACACTGGCTGCGTCCGAGCGTGTTGGCATCCGGTTCATTGCTGTATCTCGGTACTCAGCATCCTGCTTGACATTTCGTGGACATTCAAGACATAGTGGTTGAATGTGTGAACGAACCATCTCAGAGGAGCCTTGTGACAGTCCCTCTGTGTGGTTTGGGTTTCCACAGAAGCAGACCCTTGCCAGTGCTCGTTTTAGGAGGTGACGCCCAGAGGACCTGGTGGAGGAGTGGCGGAGTGAGGCAGGGAAGGGGAGGCAGGCAAGGAAGGTGCCACTCTGGACATCTGACCCTCATCCTCGCTGGAGACCCCTGGGGAGCAGCACTGATCACTTCTGAGTTGTTCTGTCCAAGGGGCAAGGCACCTGGAGTATTCATTTCCTTGTCCACTCTTGTCCTTGCCTGAGGCTGTCTCTGGGGCCATTAACATTCAGGCTCTTCCGTCCTGCCTGGCGCCGAGCTCAGTGGTGGAAGGAAAACCCTCACACAACAGGACACCATTGATGCTGGTGCGTACGTGAGTGTTGAGCAGGGCGCCCACAACATCTGCTGTGGCTACAGTGGGGGGGGAAAACCATGGCTCAGAGAGGTTAAGTAACTTGTCCCAGGTCACACAGCACCAAGTGGCAAATTCAGTATTTGAACCCAAGTCTGGCCTGATACACAAGCTTTGAAGTAGGCCATTTGGTGGAGAATGAGGAAGGGATCCATGAAGGTGGGAAGAAATCTGAGGCATGAAGCCATCTTCAGGAAGCTTTTGATCTTGGTGGAGAGAAGGGACCCAGTGATCCACGGCCAGGAGATGATGTGGTGTCAAGTGAGGTGCTGGAGAAGAGGTCCCAGAAGGCCTCCTGGAGGAGGTGCTGGCGTGAGCCCACCCCTGAGGGCTGGCTCTGAATTTGGACGGGCTGATTAGGGGAGCTGAGGGTATTCCTGGCAGGAGCCCAGTGTGTGCGAAGGTGTGGAGGTGGGATGACACATGGCACACCCTGGGGCAGTGTGGAAACTGATTTAGGGCCCCACGGCGCACCCACCCATGGAGCATGGCATCAGCCGCCCAGGGTCCAAGTCCCTCCTCTGCTGCTTACAGACCAAGTGAGTGAAGGCAAACCCTTTCCCTGAGGGCCTGTGCCTCCGTCTCCTCATCTGTATAAAGAGAGGGTCCCACCTGGAAAGCGGTGTTGTGGAAGTGAAACAATAGTATATCAATAGGGATGATGAGATGGAGGTTTGCCCAAGGTTAGGGGCGGGCGAGTGGTGGAGTCTGGCCTTGAACCCACATCTCCTCTATATACCACATTCAGGCGCATGTTTGAGCCTCTACTCTGCCACTTGCCAGCTCTGTGTAAAGCAGTGGCTTGGCCTCCCTGCGCCTCAGTTTCCCCACCGGAGTTAACAGGGATGCCTGCTTCGAAGCACTGTTCCTATGCCAAGCGGAGATAAAACGCCCAGCATGCACCAGGCACCCAGTGGGCATGAGCTCGGGGCCTGCCCCTGGCTCCTGTGCTGTGCTTCTTGAGACGGGGTTTACCTGTCCGCACCTCCAGGCTGTTGTTGTGGGAACGCCAGGAGTGGGGAGAGACCGTGGAAATGTGACACTGAAGCTGTGTGCCAGCCGCCCAGGGGCCCTGCCGGCCGCGGGGGAGCGCGGCGCTGTGGGGGGGCCAGCCTGGCCCTGGACGCCCGCCCGGGGTGCGCGAGCCCCAGCAGCGCTGCCGTCAGGAGATCCGCTTCCTCACGAAGAACTGGGAGGCCTTGGACCGGCCCCTTGTTTCTCTTCTCTCCTGCCCAGAGACGTTTTGTTCTTCATCTTTAAGAACTGACAGTCAATAATAGCATCGCGTACATGCGAAATATTGGTGGTTGAAATTGAAACCTTACAGGAGTGTGTAACAAAGTGTCCCCCCCCAGCCCCTTCCCTCGCCCATCCCCCAGGGGCAGCCGCTGTGACGGTTTTGATAGCCTTTGGGACTCGCCTCCACGGCAGAGTTGCTTTTCAATCACATGTATTTTTATTTATGATTGTTGCATTTTCCTTATTGCAAGAGGCAGTGAATACTGGTGTACAATTTAAAGCGTTATAGAAACATGTGGTTTAGAAAGAAAATCTCCCCCGAAAGGACAAGTCTGGCCAGGACCTGGGGCACACCCCGCCCCAGGGCCATTGATGGCTCTCAGTCTAGGGCACTTGGCCCCCAGGGCCCGTTTCTCTGTTGTCACAGCTGGGGAAGAGTTTGCTCCCGGCTGTCAGTGGCTGGGGACCGGGCTGCTGCTCAGCTCCCTCCCACAGCCCGGGCAGCCCTCGCCACAGACCGCCACCCTGCCTCGCGTGCACGTAGCTCCAAGGTGAAGGGACCCCGGTCTGTCACGGACAGGGCTTTCTGGGGGTGATAAAGATATCCTGAATTGAGCACGATGGTGGTGGCAGAACTCCAAGAATGTGCCCTGACCCCCCAAAAAACCCTGTGCCCATTGAGCAGTCATTCCCAATTCCCCTGATGCCCTCCAGTCCCGGGCAACCGTCAGTCTCCTCTCTGTGTAGAGTTGCCTCTTGTGGACCTCGCAGATACATGGAGTCACACGGTAGTGGTGCTCTGTGATTGGCTTACAGGCGTGTCGCAGCTGCGGGCCGCATGCGGCCCAGGATGGCTGTGAATGTGGCCCTACACAAAATCGTAAATTTACTTAAAACCTTATATGAGATTTTTTTGTGATTACGTGTTGCAATGTATGTAATGTGTGGCCCAAGACAACTCTTCTTCCATTGTGGCACAGAGACGCCAAAAAGTTGGACACCCTTGGTAGGATAACGTTTCCAAAGTTCATCCGTGTTGGGGCATGTGTCAGCGCTTCATTCCCTTTTATGGCCGAGTAATATCCCATTGTATGGATAAACCACATTTTATTTATTTATCCGTTCATCGGTTGATGGATGTTTAGGTCGTTTCTCTTATTTTGTTATTGATTTGAGGGAAAGGAGCATTGATTTGTTGTTCCATTTATTTATGCATCCATGGGTTGTTTCTTGTCTGTGCCCTGGCCGGGGATCGAACCCACAACCTTGGTGTTTTGGGATGACACTCTAACCAGCTGGGCTACCAGGCCAGGGCCAGGTTGTTGCTGCTCTTTGGCTGTTGTGAATAATGCTGCCGTGAACATTTGTGTACAAGTTTTTGAGTGGTCACACGTTTTCGTTTCTTTGGGTATAGACACCCAGGGGTGACATCGCAGGTCATGTGGTGACTGTGGGTTCCACCTTGCCAAAGCCGCTGCACCACTTCACATTCCCACCGGCGGTGCGTGAGCGCCCTTGCTTCTCTCCATCCCAGCCAACGCTGCCTCTGTCTCTGTCTCTGATTCTAGCCGCCTCAGTGGGTGTCAGTGAGGCGGTCTCTCATTATGGTTTTGATTTTTATTTCCCATTGAGCATCTTTTCATGTATTTTTTGGTCCTTCACATGTCTTCTTTGAAGTAATGACTATTCAGATCTTTTTCCCATTTTTAAATTGGGGTATTTGTCTTTTTGTTATTGAGTTGTAATTATTCCTTATATATTCAGGACACAAGTTTCTTACCAGACATAGGGTTTTATGATTTGTAGAAATTCTCTCCAATTTGGGTTGTGTTTTCACTTTCTTAACAACATCCTTTAAGGCATAAAAGTTTTTCATTTCAGTGAAGTTCAATTTATTTGTATTTTGTTGCTTGTGTTTTAGGGTCATATCTAAGAAATCCTCACCTGATCAAAGGTCAGGAAGGTTTATGCCTACATTTTCTTCTAAGCATTTTCTAGTTTGAGCTCTGGTATTTAGTCTTTGATCTACTTTGAGTTGATTTTGCCTACGATGTGAGATTGGCAGCGTGTTTTAAAGGCAAAGTCTTACTTGACCTGGTGGACAGAGAGAGGCGAATAGAGTGGCCTGAGGGTCTGGGCCTGCCCAGATGCCATGCGGGATGGGCGGGGTGGGGGAGGGTCAACTGTGGAGGAGAGGAATGGAGAGGCCTGCTTTGGACGTGTGAAGCCCGCGATGAGCATGGGCAGCGAGTGGTGACCTGGAGCGGGCAGTGGGGTCTACAGACCTGGAGTCCCAGCATGGGGAGACGGAATCAGGAGTTGTCTGTGTAGTTGGATTTATTTAAAGCCCTGGGACATTATGGGCAATCCCCGAGGGAGGGACGTAGCAGGAAAAGGGAAGGCTCGGTGGCCGGCTCAGGACACTCCTGCCTGTAGACCTTCCCCTGAGACTGGGGGGCTGAGAAGGACTGGCCAGGGAGGTAGGAGGGGACCCTGAGAGTCTCACAAGGCATCAAAGAAGAGACCTGAGGCAAGGGACTGGGAACTCGTCCTTGCTCTTCACTGATGCTGTGTGTCCTTATTCAGGTGCCTGTCCTCTCTGGTCCTTCCACTCCTTGTCTGTGTGGGGAGAGGATGAGACGTGTAAAATCCAAATTCTGGGGTCTTGTATTACTGGCCTGTGAATGTAACCCCTATATATAACTGACCGAGTAGGAAAAAACAGCGGGATTCAGTGTTCCGCCTATAGTCCTGTCCTATTTATGTACCGTTTCTGTATCTGTGCGTCTGTGTGTGTGTGCTTGGATGCATGGAGAGAGATCTAAGACGAGGTCACCAGAAGTCATCAGGGGCAGCAATAAGGCTGGATGACGTTTATGGAGGGCTCCCCACTTGACAGGCTTGTGGGGGAGACATGCCAGATGCCTGTGCACGTCCGCCCCCTGGTGGCAGCACTGTGTCATACACTCTGTGTGCTGTTCCCTGCTGGGTTCTCCCCTGAACCTAGAAGCTGAGCCCTGGCCTCATTGGTCTTTTCCCACATGGTCAAAGGATCAGAAAGGTTAAGACACTCACCTGAGCTCACACAGTTATTAAATGGCCAAGGCGGGGCTGAACCCAGACTTGCTGATCCGACATATCACCTCTCATCCGTGAGGCTGTGGGGTTGCTGTGGGGTGGCTGTGGGGGCGGGGTGTTCTGGAGCTTTCTTTTTCTTCTCTGCCCTTTTAGGTACAGAATGGGCCCTCATGGTGTGACCCACTCCTCCCGTAGGTGGCAAAGCCTCAGGAAAGCCCTCTTCTTGTGTTCTGTGTCTCAGGTGCCATCGCCAGACCTGGGGAGGGAGGATGTGTTCCAGGACAGTGAGCCGCCGCTCCGGCAGGTGTCCCCTGTGGCCTTGGGCCCCCGGAGAAGCCGCAGCTTCTGCAAGGACAAGAGGAGCGGGGCCTTCGTGGTGAGTGATACTGGCGGGTCGGAGCGGAATCTGCGGCGGCGCTGGTCGTCGGCCGCCAGTGGGAATGGGCTGTGCGGTGAGTGCCGGCTGCCTAGGCGCCTGCGCGGGGAAGCCCGACGCTGCAGAGGGGCTTTGGTGGCTGTGCTGAGAAAGCCTTCCTTCCTCGCCGGTGCCGGTTCCGGTTCCGGCCGATGCAGAGGGGTAACCCCAGCTGCCTGGCATGGAGCCATTAAGAGAATATGTGCTAGGATCTGAAAGCCCAGCGTTCGAGTCCCACCCCATCTCCTCTTTGCCTGGTGGAGCAATTTACTTAATTTCTCTGCACTTGAGTCTTTCCGTCGCCTGGAAAATGGAATCGCGATTCTGAATTCTTTTGCGCCATTGAGAGGATGGCGTAAGATTGTGAGTCAGGCCTAGCACACAGTACAGTCACCAATAGTTATAATCACCATGGCGAGTAGTGGTCAGCTGGTTCTGGAGCCAGATCACCTGGGTTCAAATCCTAGCTCTGTATGCGGATGGGCGTCTTCTGAGCAGCCCAGAAAGTTTCCCCGAGCCGTCGGATCTCAGCCACGGACCTGCACGCATTTGAAACCGGCCTGGTTTTTTTTTTTCATTAAATGCTCCCTTCCACTGATTTCTTTCTTACCCTTTCCTCCATTCACTCTCCGGTGGCACCGACTCAGCTTATCTGATTGTACTTGAACTTCTGTGTCCGTGTGTGTGAAGAGAAGGGTTATAGAGAGAAAAGCATTTAAAACCGGCCTTTTTGTAGCCTCTGCTCGCTGGCATCCTCCCCGGTCGCTCGTCTCCTCCTCTTCCACTCGCTGTCATTGAGGAGCCTTTGTCCTCGGAGTCCTTGTGTGGCTTGCCTTGGCGCCCTCCTCAGGCCCCAGGCCCCTGCCCGGTTGCTGCCTCCTCGATTTCCTCTCCTCCAGAGGCGGGCGGGGTTGGGGCGGAAGGCCTCAGTCCCGGGCTTTCACGGCTCGCGTGCGCAGTTCTGGGGAGTGGCCACCAGGAGGCGGTGGCGTTCCGCCCACTCCCTGATGTCTTCAAAATCTGCCTTGGGGACCTGAGCATTGGACCCTGAAGGCTGAAAGAAGTGGGTTCAGGTTCCGGTTCTGCCACTGTGTGACCTTGGGCAAGTGACTCGATGGACCTCCTTGACCTTGTTTTTTCTTCTCTAAAATGAGGATGGTCCTGTCTGGCCTTAAGAGTTTTTGTGAGCTGTAAATGAGATCACTCAGCACTCAGCATGGTCAGTGGTCACTTTTCTTCTTCCCAGTCTCCTTCCTTTTTACCTTATCCTCGCCTTCCCTTCCACCTTCCTTTCCCTTCCTCCTCTTCCTCACTTCCCTTCTTCCTCCCCTTTCCCCTTTTTGTCACCTTTCAACTCTCATTATAAATGGGGAAACTGAGGCCCAGAGAGCGGGCCTGATGTAGCCAGGGTGATCCGCCAGGCCGGGACTGGGGTCCTAAGCCCTTCACTGGTAAACATCTGCCATTAGTCCCGCACTGTGCTGACAAATGATTTTGTGTTGTTGGTTTCTAGCTCAGGTTCAGGCTCAGCCCCATTTTTTTGAGCCCGTGTCTCAGACCTTGTCAATCCCTGGCCCGCCCCCATGTGAGGGAGTGTAAATCCCATTTTGCAGAGGAGGGAACTGAGGCTCAGAGAGGTTAAGCTACTTGCCCAAGGCCTCACAGCTAGCAAGCGGGGGGCTGGAATGGAAACTGAGCCTGTTTCGCTTCCAGCCTTGGACCTGGGCCCTTCCTGCCATGGGACTGTGCTTGGGGCCTGTCACCAACCCCCAGCAGCCCCTCTCCTCCTCTGAGCCTGCCATGCTCGATGTGTGTGAGCCCACAAGGAAACTAGACACCCTGGGCCCTGTGGCCGAGAATGCGATACAGCCCAGCCAAGGGCTGGCCGCCAGCTGTTCTGCCATGGCCGCCCGCTGACGGTGCCTGGGACCCACCAGGGCTGGTTTGCGTAGCCACGCCCACCCTGGCTGAACCACAGGCTGGCCAGGCCCTGAGCCTGAGGTCCTGTGGCCTGGCCTGGTCACTTTGCAGAGGTGAACAAGTAAGTGTACCACTCAGCACCTCTGTTTTCCTCTGTCAAGTGGGGAATCATAACAATAATAATGCCTAATACTTCCAGTGTACACTGTGTGGTGTAGATGCTAGGCCATCCCCACTTTCCAGATGGGAAAGCTGAGGCTCGGCACCACTAAGTAGCTCTGCCACGGTCTGAGTGTGGAGCCCATACTCCTAACCTTCTGCTGAACCTCCTCCCACTGCTCTACTTTGTAGGTGGAGGATGGAGCCAAAATGGTAAAGGGTAGCTGCCCAATAATTACTACCTGCTGTTATTGCATTGTTAATTATTGTTTGTTGTCTGTGCTTGGTTTTTTTTCCCCCTACGTTCTCTTGAAGAGCTATTGATGGGACAGGAAGTCGCCCCCAGTTTCACGAGTTTTGCGCGGCTGAGGGAGCTGAGGCCTGGTGAGGAGGTCTCTGGCCCAGGGTTCTGCAGTAGCTGGAGGCAGGGCTGGGGCCGGAATTCCGCCTTTCTGACTCCCTGGTCTCCCCCTCCCCTGTTCCTTTAAGGGGTTCCCATAGGTCCTTGCTTTCATGTGGCAAGTTTGAGCCCCGCGCTGGTCCTCCTCCCTACCCCCATCCACAGGTGGGCACACCCTCCTTCCCCATAAAGAGAACCTTTGGTCCGCATTCACGCAGAGATCATAAAGCACGCTGGCTCCGCTGTGGTTATGACCCTGGGCCACGGTTCCCCCGAGGCCCCTCTTGGGGCTCTGAAGGCACCAGCTGCGGGGGTTCCCTGGCATGGGGCTGGCAGTTGGGCCTCTGGTGGCCTTGAGAATATTCTCCCAAATCCCTTAGCTGGCTCATTTAGTGATGAGCTTATTCCCTGGGGCCTGCTGTGTGCCAGGCCCTGAAGGAGGGGGCCTGGAGATTCTTCTACTCTGTCCCCCGGGGCCTGAGGAAGGCCTGGGAGGGTCTGGTTAGGTCAAAGGTGGAGGGGGCGCTCGGAAAGGGAGAACAGCACTTGCAAAGGCATGGAAGTGGGTGACGCAGGAGGTGTGTTCAGGGGCCAGCGAACAGACCACTTTGGCTGAGGTGGAATGTTTGGGGATTTCAGTCTCACTTTGGACACATGTTTATCTGCCTGTCCCAGGTGCTAGGTCGGGCACTGGGCTCCAGTTATGAACAAGATGGAGATAAATAAGAAGGTAGATAAATAATGACAATGGGTTCTAACAGCTCCTGTTCATTGAGCACTTACTGTGAGCCATGTGCTTTACCTGCCTTCCTTTTATTTATTCGAAGTTCAAAGCCTCTCTGGAAGGGGGCATGTCTTTGTGTGGGGGAGCCTCACAGAGGGGGGACAAGTCTTGGAGGACAACCAGGTGTTTACCAGGGTGTGGCCCAGGAAGAAGGGGTTTGCCCGGCGGAGGAACAGCCTGGGCAAAGGTTTAGGGGTGTGAAGCTGCACTCCATGGAAGGAGGGGATTCCAGAGTCCAGAAGGGGCCTGGAGTGTCTTTTAAACGTTACTCTGATGCTTCCTTCCTGGACACCCTCGGCGTGTGTTTCAATGGTGAGTTCAGACCACCCGCATCTCTTGCTGATGGAACTGTGGTCCTTGCTTCTGGGAGTGGCACTGTCTCCCTGCAGCTCTGTCCTCACGGGGCCGTCCTTGTACACAGACCTGCCAGCACAGCCGTTTCAAGTCTGAGAGCATTTGGACCTGATGGCTTTATTATAATGATCAGAGAATGGCCGTGTCGGGGTGCGGGGGGTGCGGATTGGATTCTAATGATCAGACTAGTAGTTCTTGTGAATGCCATCAACCTGAGATAATAGGGGACTCTTGAGGACACCCCCAATGGACACGTCACTAGTCCTGGTTAGAGATTCTCCTTGAATTCCAGTTGGTGGACGAGGCGTTCAAATGGGAAGGGGAAAAATCAAAATGAAAGACCAATATGGACCTCTCGTGAGGATACAGGACAAGAGAGACAATCTGCCCAGTGTCTGAATGCCGTGACCTGAGAGGTGTGCCGGGCACTGGCCTTCTAGGACGGGAGGACTCAAATTTTGCCCTCCAAGGCCCCCGGTCTGCTGGGGAGCAAGGCTCAGAGAAGGGAGGGAAGCCTGAGGTGAGAGAGACAGGCCGGGAAGCCGGCCCCGAGGCCAGGGGGCGACGGCCGGGTTAAGGAGCGTGAGTGTGCAGCCGAGTGCCAAGAAACCAGACAGAGTGCGGGGCTCGCAGAAAGCCCGGGAATCCTCTGACCCGTGGCCATGCCCGTTTGTTCGTTGTTTCTGGTCCCTCACTGCGGGGTCGAAAGGGCTAGAGAAGACTGAGTACCATATCTCAGCTGAGTCAAGTTCCTTTTCTGGATGAAAACCAGCCAGACTAGAAGGCTTTTGTTTCCTAGATCTTAAAATGCAAATGACAGGTGTGCCTCTGATTTTGTATCAGAAGGACTTTTTATTCGTCCATTTACCTAGCTTTCGCTCTAACCACCCATCACCCATCCATCCATCCATCCATCCATCCATCTTCTACCAAGTTATTAATATCCACAAAATTCTGAAGCTGTAAAGATAATAAGTTCATTTCTGTCCTCAAATTGCTCACGTTCATAAACTATAAGCAAGTCATTATGTAATCGGGGGTGATAGTAGTCATTCATTTATTCACCCGTTCATTTCTTCAGCAGATACTTATTGAGCACCTACCGTGTGTCCTACGCTGTCCCCGGCCCCACAGGGCAGCAGCGTCTGTGCGGCTCCTCCCCTCCTGGAACTCGGGCTCGGGGGTGGGGAGAGGTAGGGAGATGGACATTACACAAGCAGCCAGAAGCAAAAGCAAGAGGCTGTCAGAGGCTACCGAGGGCCATGAAGACGCCAAAATAGCGTGTTGGGAACTGAGGGACAGAGGCGGAGGGTGGTTGGGGGGGCTATTTCATACTAGGGGTCAGGAGGGCTACTCCAAGGAGGTGATGTTTGAGCTGGGACCTGAAGGAGGAGGGTGTGGCCATGTAGAAGAATCAGAGGGAGAGCATCAGGCAGAGGGAACAGCAAGTGCCAAGGTCCGGGGGTTGATGTGTTTAGTAGCACAATGAGTGATGGTAATGACAACGATGATGCTGTCACCGGGGCTGGAGCAGAGAGAAGGAGGACTGAGGACGTGGGTGGCAGGGGTCAGATCACGCCAGGCCTTGCTGGTCAGCGTAAAGAGGCAGGTTCTGGGCAAGGGCAAAGGAAGAGAGAGCGCTCACAGCATCTGGAGGAATGCAGACAATGGCAGAGCTAGACTCAGGGGAGGGAGGGATTTGCTCAGGTTGCGGGGAATGGCATGCACACACTTACAGAAGGATGGGAGGACAGGGGTGTTCCAGGATCCGCAAGGAGGTTACCAGGGGGATTGTGGGGGCGCCGCAGAAGACAGACATGGATGAGAGGGACCCTCAGGGTCAGAATAAGGCTTGGTGTTAGCCTGTCAGAGGCGCCCAAGGAGCCAGGAAGCTTTGATCAGGGCACCATCAGCGATGCAGTTCGGAGCGCCCTCTAGTGGACTTTGTAGAGAAAGGTCCGAGAGGATAAACCGGAAGCAGGAGACCGGTAAGGGGCAGTTGCAGTAATCTGGGCAAATTCATTTAAAAAAGTTATTGTAGTTGAATATACCTAACATAACACTTGCCATTTAACCATTTTATGCGTACTCTTCAGTGTGCTTAAAAAATAGTCACTAACTACATTCGCATTGTGCAGCCATAATCGCTACCCATGTCCAGAGCTTTCGCGTCATCCCCAACTCCGTACTGTTAGACACCAGCTCCCTGTTCCTGCCTCCCACCCGCCCCTGGCAACCTCTGTTCTTCTTCCCGTCTTTATGAATTTGCCTATTCTAGATACTTCATATACGTGGAATCATGCACCACTTGTCCTTTTATGTCTCGTTTGCTTCACTTAACGTCTTCAAGGCTCATCCACGTTGTACCCTGCGTCAGAAGGTAATTCCTCTTTAAGGCTGAATAAGGTTACATTGTATGCATACGCCACATTTT